TAAATGCTAAAATAATCAATTTTTTTCCCCCTTGTTCTGAATTCGGTTTTCCGTTGTTTCGATTTTTAAATAATTCGCATTTAAAATTTATTTTTGAGAAATAAACGACGATAAAACTTGTTGCCGAATTCAGAAACAAACAGTAAATATTAAAATGTTTGTCCCCTCTTTTTTTATACACTTCATGTTGTAAAAATCAGTAATCAATCCTGCTTTTGCTTGAAATTTCCAATTTTGCTGTGCCCTTCCTCCAAGCTCATACAAAACAAAATCTTTTAAACATTTTTTTTTTTTATAAATGCCTTGTTATTTTGGAGTAAATTAAACAAAATAATAACAAGTTATCTTGACTAACCATTCAATATAACTATATTTGGCAAAATACCGTTAATTATTGTAATTCACTTTTTAATCTTCAATTAATTTATTTAAATGTTATTCATATCATTTAATGTTGCTTCATCCTTCTAAATTTATTTCTTATTAGTTAATACTTTCAAATTTCAGGCAATTTTCTGTGGCATACTCGTGAAACTAATTCTGGCAGTATGATAACATACCATTACGAAATCTAGTGCACATATTTTTAACTTATGTGTGTTGCTAAATAAGTATAAAATACTTGAATTTATTTAAAAATATTAAATAGATTTCTTTCTTTTTTTAGCTGCAAAATATCTGAAAAAAGACATTTTTTAATCCAGGTTGGGCAGATTCTAGTCTCAATCCTCAGTGGAATCCATGGTTGCAACCTATCGAATTAGCTCCTAACATGGCAAGATGCACGTTTTGCCAAAAAAAATATCATGCTTAGTACCATGGGAAGGAAAGCAGTTACAAGCCACATAAACAGTGTAAAACATAAGAAAATCATTTTTGTGAAGATGAACTCTGAAAACTTAAAAAACTATTTCTCCATAGATAAAAGCAGTTCTGAAACACAGCAGTCTTCGGCACTAGTTGCTGAATCATCAAATTTAAACGCGTTCACACCTGAGGACAAAGTTTTTGCTGCGGAATTACTGTGGGCTATGAAATTTGTTTCTTCAGATGTTTCTTATAATGCATTTAATGCTGCTGCTGTTCTGTTCCAGAAAGTGTTTGATGACAGCAATAAAGCTAAAGCTATGACCCTGGGACATACAAAAATGTCATATTTAGTGTCATTTGGTTTAGCTCCATACTTCAAAAAGATGCTCATTTCTGATCTTAGAACACTGAATTTGTAATTTGCTTCAATGAAGCATTAAATAGAATTGTCCAGAGAGGCAAAATGGATCTTTTTGTTAGATTTTGGGACAGTGCGAGGAATGAAGATACAAGATACTCACATCAATTTTTTGGGGACATGTATCTGCCAATGACCTTCTGAGAAGTTTCTTTGAGGGAACCTCAGAGCTAGATAAAAAGAAATTGCTGCAAGTATCATTGGATGGACCAAATGTCAATCTTAAATTCCTCAGAGATTTGAAAGAAAATTTAGCAAATAATGATGCCTGCCATGTATTACATATTGGGTCCTGTGGTTTGCATGTTGTTCATGGTGCCTTTAGAGCTGGCCATAAAGGTACTGACTGGAATTTAAGTGCATTATTTAAAAATATGCATAGAGTATGTAAAGACAGTCTTGCTTGGCAAGCAGACTATATTGCCATCACTAACTGTACAACTTTTCCGTTGAAGTTTTGTGAAGTAAAATGGTGTGAGAAAACATACCTGTTGCTGAGAGAGCTATTGATATTTTTCATCATGTCAAAAAATATGTAGAATCATCCGAACTACCAAAAACTGTGTCATTCAAAAGACTGAGAGAAGCTGTTAAAGATAAGCTACTTTTGGCAAAAATCTCATTTTTTATTTCGGTTGCAGGAGTTAATTTACATCCATTTCTAAAGTCATTTCAGACAGCTGATCCTTTGTGCCCCTTTCTATATACAACTTTCCATAGTATGCTAAGTCATCTTCTCTCCAAATTTGTCAAAAGAGATATACTGCGAGAGGCAAAAGCTCCTGAAAAACTGATAAATATAGATATTCTGGATGAAAACATTTATTGTAATGTTGCAGATATAGATGTGGGTATTGCTGCTGGTGCGAGTTTAGCTAAAAGTGGAGTATCTGATCTTAACAAAAGAGAATTCAGAACTCGGTGCAGAACATTTTTGGTTAAGCTGGTATAAAAAATATTTGAAAGAAGCCCATTGAAATATAGCTTAGTTAAATACATTTCTTCATTAGATCCTAAGCTCATTACGTCTAATGAATTTTTATGTGAGAAAAGGATGGAGAGGTTATTGCATATAATATATGAAAGTGAATGGATAAATTCCACAGTTTCAGATAAATCAAAAATGCAGTTTAAAGAATGATTATTATTAGGGTGTTTGGAAAGACGCTTTTACTAATTATGCTTCAATGTGACTTGATCACTTTTATAAGGATTTGATTAATAACTCAGATTTTAAAGAACTTTGGAGTGTTGTAAAACTAGTTCTAATTTTATCACATGGCAATTCCACAGTAGAAAGTGGATTTTCAGTTAATAATGATATGTTGGTGGAAAATCTGCAGGAAAATTCTTTAACAGCAGTGCAAACTGTTTATGATGCTATAAAAGTAAATGGAGGTGTGATTAATATTAATGTAACTCCTTATATGTTATGATATGCCAGATCTGCTCGTGGTGCATATCACCGAGCACTCGAAGACAAAAAACTGTGTGATAATAAACATAAAAAATACTATTAGACAAAAGGAACAAGGCACAGATTAAAATTTTGGAGTCAAAAAAACAAAAATTGAGCAGAGATGTTTCTTCAATTGACTTGCAAATTGCAAAGTTAAAACAAGAAATCTAATTTGGTGCTTATTTTTCATTAGTATTTTTTCTATTAGTGTTTTGTTTAAATATATTAAATGTCATATTTTTAATTCTAATAAATATTTTTCATTTAACATATATTATGTATGCTTATATTAACAGTTTTGCATAAAAAATGCTTTTTTAACCTTTCAGAATTTAGCAAGTGTTGAAATATCACTGAGGTGATTGTTTGCCAATTATATATTATTTAATAGGATAGATATAAATGGGCCCCGCACTGCCATTTTGTGAACAATAACTTCCATTCCAGAATTTATGTATAATACTTTTTAATATCATTCATGACATAATTTTATTACAATTAATGGTGGAGAAAATCTTATGTTTAAAAGTTCATACATTGCATTGAAAAATCAATGAATTTCATTTCTGGTTTTGGTTTAGATGGAATGCATTGTACTTATTTAATTTCTTTTGTAAATGAAAGTTATTGGGGAAAATGGAAAATAACTCCTATTGTAGTCATAATAGTAATTTTTGGTAATCTTTATATACAGTCAAAGTCGTAATCCGGACACCCTAATCGGACCTTAATTAAACTTTCTGCATCACATGCTGATGCAGGATATACGTTTCACTGTGTTTAATGTAATGGTGCTAGCAAGAAAATTATCAATTAGTTAATGTTGAGATTGCTTGTTCCTTAATCTTTGAATTGGATCTGGCTTATTATTTTTTGCAGACTGTTAGAGCAATTTTATAAAAGTAAGTTGGAACTTTCGATTATGTCAAATAGAATTTCGGATGCTGGAGGTGCAAAAGGATCTACGAAAGGAAAACATGTTTCGATGTCCATCAAACAAAAAGTGGAATTGCTGCAAAAAGTGCATAAAGGCTCCTTTGTTTCTCTAACCATTCCGAAATCTGTTTATCAATTTCACGCTGCTCTTCGCGGGGGTGGTGTGGGGACGCAGCGCGCAATGAACTGGAAGTTGATCTGTCAGCACTATCCTTATCTTCAGGGCAGATTTTTTATTTTATTCGGCTTTTAATTCCGTACTAAATGTAGTATTTCATCTCGACATACTCCGTCTTTAATATGATTTAAATCAAATTCCTCATCATTATAAATATTACGAATACAAATCAAATAGTTTTCTGATTGCAATTTTCTAATTTCGACTATGTGTAGTGTATGCTTTACGCATGCGCGCGTTGAAAGAAATGTTTAATAAAGTAACCAAATAAATATTAAGCTTTTTTTTCTTTGTAAATTTCAATACCCTTTAGATCATAATTGCTCTTTATTTCATAAATTACAGTTTCATACTTTTAATTTTATAATTTCTGCATGCCATCTTACCAGATTTAAACTGATGATCTATAATTCGGAAAAATCTATAATCCGGATTCGCCGAAGTCCCGGCGAGTCCAGATTAAGACTTTTGACTGTATAAGTCATATGCAATTAGCAAATGTTTGTGTTATCGAGTGGCACCATAATTAATATACCTTTAGCACAACTAATGCACACTACGTGGATAGACTGGAATTTTTTTTAAAACACTCCTGGAGAAGTCAGGGTATTTCATTGTCCTGTTTGAGTGGCAACCCTGTACCAAGATTAGAAATGAAAATTAATCCCACATTTTACCTCCTTAGTTTCCTTTTTAATATAATTCCTTAGTACACCGTCATCTTAATTTTAATTCTTAATGGTATGTACAAACTGATATTTCTATGCTGGTGCATGAAATTTGACAAAGTGCCTGGTAAAGTGGCCTAAAAAACATAATATCCCATAACTCAGACTGGCATCCAGTTTTTAATGAAATTCCTCCCCCTTCTATGTAGTTTTGATAACGCAGTATAGCATTTTTTCAAACAGTATTTAATCCTTTTGTCCTAAAATATACCTACTTTGAATTACGATTTCCCCCTTTTTTTTTGAATTAATTTGCTGTAATCATATGGTTTATCAAACTGTCTTAACGGCTATCATAAAATAGAGTTTCCATGGTAAGTACTTTTCTCTGTATGTGTGTGGAGATAAAATTATAAAACACATGCAGAGGCCAGTTAGCAATGGTGTTTATTCTCAAGGCAAACTTAGTACATTTTGAAAGTGTTTGAGTTTATTGTAATAAAAATTTGAAATGTGTTTAATAAATTTCAGATTATCCGCTGGTATGAGTACTTCATTAAACCAAGTAACTTCAAACACCAATACTGCTAGTGCCCCACCAAGCAATGAATCCTCTGGAGCTAATCCAAATGCTTCCCCTGGAAACAATAGAAGTCTAGAGATGCTGATTGAGGCGTGAGTAGTGCATGTATTTCTAAAGAATAATTAATATGAAAAACTAGGGTATAAAGTATTTCATAATTTTATTCTAATGCAGAATAAAGCTGTATTTTTTCTGTTCTTATTTCTTTTGATCTGGCATGAGTTACTTTGAGGGGTCAGTTTACTTTCTGAAAATCTTTGTGCTATATGTTTCAGTGACCAGACGCCCACTGGACGAAAGCGCACACGACAAATGCCCACAAAAAAGACACCACTGTGATAATTGCCCATGGGACAAATACCCACGCTGATGAAAGTGCACATAGATAAAAGCCCACTTTGATTTTATCAATGATATAAGCCCAAACAGATATACGACAGCACATGCTTTTATCGCCCACAAAAAAGACCTCACTGTGATAATTGCCTATGCAACAAATACCCACACCAATGAAAGTGCACCTAGGTGAAAGCCCACATTGATTCTATCAATGTATAAGCCCACACAGATGTAAGCCCATGTTGATAAAAGCCCACACTGACAAAAACCCACACCGATATATATCCTATGTTAAAATTAATATTTTTTCTTTTTCTTTACCTGCACAAAGCATATTCTTAAATAAAGATGAAATAAAAAAAACAAATTAATAACAAATAATTGACCAATAAATTTAGCTAGCGGAACACATTTCATTTTGGGCTCCAGCTGAATTAAAATCCTACATGTATATAAAACAGAGATTGTGTAATTTTGTTATTATATTTACATGACAAAAGGAAGTGACCTTGTATAAGTCTGACAAAGGGAATACTGGCCACATTGCTTCTTTTACTTTCACAAAATTGTAAGCAGTATAAAATATATGCAAATTTTCATCATATACAGAGAATAATTTATGAATAACCTAAGAATTCAGAAAATTTTGCATTTAATGAATTTAATATGGAGACTTCTGAAATTCTGCTTGTAACTGATGTTAATCCCTTTCTTGCATTTCCTTTAGTCTAGTTCTTGAATAATTTTTATCCAAGGATTTAGCTAAAATTTCAGTTTTTTAAAAATTTTCATTAAGTGGAAAAAGAAATTAATTAAATATTACTGAAGATATTTGAAAATATTTTTTAACCATTTTAAAGCCATATTTCACTGTTTTGGCAGTAAAACTGCAGAGTGGAAAAAAGATGCTAGTTCCTGATTGGATAATGTCTCTAACAACTTTTTGATGAACTTATTAAACATGTCGAAGCATATATATATATATTATATCGAAGCAAAACCATTGTTTAAAAGTAAAACTATTGAACTATTTCTAAAAAATTAAATTATTACATATATTAAAATTTGCGTAAAAGTAATATTTTTCATTTTAACTTTCGTATGGTTGAAAACGGATTTAACTATTTGAATAATTTAAATAACGAAGTATCTGAACTCAAGAACTAGAGGATTTAAGAACCATGAGTCCAGCATTGTAAGAAACGTAATCTTGGACATTGAAAAAAAAAATCTTATTTCAATAGAAAATGCTGTGTTACTCGATTAACTGTAAGCGCTAAAAAAAAAAAAAAAAAAAAAAAGTTCATTATGCTTTACCATAATTATTTATATACAAAAACTCTCAGTGAAGCAAATTTAAAAAGCATTTAAGAAACTGAATTTCACTTTAACATTTCTTTTGTGGGTTTTATGCTGTTATTGCTTGTTAAATATTATTTTGCCTAGATTAAAAAAAGAAACACTTATCATGTATCATTATTTAAAAGAAATATCAAATTAAGGTCATTTTCATCACCTCGAAATGCATTGTATTCCCTATATGAATTTCATATTCTAATAACACAGAAATAGTAGCCACATAACTTGTAGAAGATATTTCTTATAAACCTCTTGTCTTGGTGAACCAGTAGAAAAAATGTATAATTATGGAGTCGAATTTCACTTTAACATTTCTTTTGTGAGTTTTATGCTGTTATTGCTTGTTAAATATTACTTTGCCTAGATTAAGAAAAAGAAACACTTATCATGTATCATTATTTAAATGAAATATCAAATTAAGGTCATTTTCATCACCTCGAAATGCATTGTATTCCCTATATGAATTTCATATTCGGATAACACAGAAATAGTAGCCACATAACTTGTAGAAGATATTTCTTATAAACCTCTTGTATTGGCAATCCAGTAGAAAAAATGTGTAATTATGGATCTATGTTTTGAATAACTTTTTCCCTTATTGAACGAGTTCAAAAGTTTCTAATATCTTGTTTTCTAGCATGAAAAGTTTCAGCAGTTTTTAAGGTTCGCTCCTAAAAATAATTCATAAAACAGAAGTTAGTAAGAACAAGTAAGGTATTATTCAAATTTGATCGCTTAGATTTATTTGGTCTGTTTTTGAATTCAGCATCAAATTTTAAACAATGTTTTTTGAAATCTGTGTCAACTTTTATTCTTAAAAAACATGCAAGAAATCTGAAGTTTCGTATAACAAAAGTTAGTGTAAAAGGAGTATGACAAATTAAATTATCTGTACATTCACTCACTATTAAAAACTAATTCAGTCTAGACTATGGGTCCTCAATCAGAAGGAATACCCCTAAGGGGAATTTCAAAGTTTCAGGGAGTAAATCTAGTTAACCTTTTGTTTACCTGTTAAGTATTTAGTTTTAATTTATAAATATAAAAAACCACTTTTGCTCAAATTTTGGTATTTATCAGCATTTTTTGTACTTTTAATTTATAAAGCGCATTAAAAATAATGTATATTTAAAGAAATGCATGTGTACTTTTCATGTTTTGCGAAGGAGGAATTGAATGATTGTCTAGCAATGGTGAAAAGGGTACATGAGGGATAAACTGTTGAGAACCACTGTCTAGACTGAGGCAACTTGAATTAAATATAGGATTTTATACTCTACGGATTTTTACTTCTTACTCTAGAGTCATTAGGTTTTTTTTTATATGCGGTAGACATGAAAATAAGCTATGCTCTCTTTGAGACTCGAACTTGAATATGCGCCAGTTGTGCTATTCGTTACAGCACGAAGGCATACTGGAAGGAGAGGGGCAATACCTTATATAATCCTCCTTTTGAAGAGCGACTGGGAATTAGAAGACCCAGTCGCCTAATCCTGGTGGGGAAGAATCTTCATCCACCACCTCTTTTTTTTTAGTTCAGGTGCCATGCCTCTCAATACGTGCTGAGTGTGCTATCCTGTATACCACGAAGGCATGCTGGAAGAAGGAAGCAAATACCGTCTCACCAGAATATAAATTAGTAAGCAAACGTGTTTAGGATGCAAATGAGTTTAAGAGTATTTTAGGTGAAGCTTTTAAGATTGAAAGGGAAGAGTATTGACTACGTCAACTTCTGCTGTCAGGGTTTAGCCATTTGCGGCCATTACATTAAGTGTGGCAGTTGTCTGAGCAAGCCTGTTAGGCTAATCTTGAATTTCACTATTTAATTCATTACTTTGAAATGTCATGTTTATTAGTTGCTCTGATACTTTAGCAACTCAATATTTTGTAGATTAAGTTGTTAAAATTTTAAAACAACACTTTGTTGTATGGCTGTACTGATACTTTAGCAAATCATTCGTCAATACTGAGTAGCTAAAGTATCAGCACAACTATACAACAATACTTAAATGTAAGCAGTAAGCTTAAATATGCAGAAGGAAGTAAGCCTTGTAAACACTTTTATAGTTCTAACTTAATTTTGATGGTAAAAATTGATGTTAACAGATCATGTTTGCAAAAATGATTTGTAACGTGGGAACATCACGCCTGTATCTACTGCATTATGTTATGTCTGGAAACCATTACCATAAATAACACCATAAAACATGCACTTGTACAACTATGTATCACTAAGTGTATCATGTAATGTAACGCATTTTAATTGATCTAATTTAATGCCTGGCGGTGGCAGAACTTACAGTATTGGCTGGAGTCACAATTTCATCATGACTCGAGGACGCCATAAGGTTGTTGCTTTCCTAGTCGGCGTATGGGGCTAATGCCTACATACTTTGGGTACAAGGTGTGCTGTTGTAAATAGTTCTTTTGAATTAAAGGTTTCAATCTTTATCCTTATTCTGTTATTACTGAATATCATGTTGGCTAATGAGTTTGGTTTGGTTTATGTGATTACAGCAAAGCCTCGAGGACTATCTGCCTGAGGGAAGGGATGCCTTTGTGGAAGACTTTCTTAGAGAAACTGGCTTGTGTATAAGTTATACGTGAGGAAAACCACGAAATCGCCATGGGATTCGAACCGAACTACCTGTGTTCCGCAACTTTACCGCTCGGCTGCTGGGTGGGCCCTGTTGACTAGTGAGAAGTCACCAGCAATCTTCCGAAGGTCATTGACACTTTGCATGCTTCTGTGAACAATTGGACCTTGCAACTTCTTTCTTAGCTCTATTCCACTTAGCATTAACTTCAAAGTTAATATTCAAGCATAAAGTTAAATAAAATTCTACATTTTATTGAAGTAAGTTTTATTAAAAAATTTCTATTGCCGTAATTTCGCACGTATAGTCCATGGACTATCTGTGTTTAAAATGCGAATTTTTGAAGCTGCGGACTATCCACCGATGCGGATAATACGCTGGTTGTTCACGGTTAAAATCGTTGAAATTTAAAAAACACGCTGTCATGAACTGCCGATGATCAAATATATTGTAAATCGCAAGATTGGCAAGGAAAAACGGTCGCCATGTATCGTATCGATAGTAAACCATAGAGCATAGTGCAGAACGAATGAGCAGTAGCAAGTAGAACTCCCAAAATCCAGGCTGGCGCATCAAGCGATGCTGGGATATGAGCAAAAGAAAGTCTTGTGCAAAGCACTCATTTAGCGCGCAACCAGTCTTGTATCCCAGTATCCTTCGCACTGCTTTAATACAACTGACTGCCAGGAGGGGGAAAAGTAGTTGATGCGTCAACTCGATTTTTAGGAAGCCTTAGTAGCAAGTAACCTGGAGTACGAAGAAAAAGCGTGATTCGTTTACTTATAAGTGTGGTTTGG